CCCGAGCATCCTGTGAGCGGCCCACATCCAGCAAGCAACCCGCCTCCTGTGAGCATCCTGCGAGCATCCCATGTCCTGCGAGCATCCCGCATCCCACGAGCATCCTGTGAGCATCCCACATCCCGCAAGCATCCCGCATCCCGTGAGCATCCTGCGAGCATCCCATGTCCTGCGAGCATCCCGCATCCCACGAGCATTCTGTGAGCATTCCACATCCAGTGAGCATCCCATGTCCTGCAAGTATCCCGTGTCCCGTGAACATCCCGTGTCCCGTGAACATCCTGTGTCCCACAATCATCCCACATCCCATGAGCATCATGCTTCCTGTGAGCATCCCACATCCCACGAGCATCCCGCATCCCATGAGCATCCCGCATCCCATGAGCATCCCACGTCCTTGCTCGGACAAGGACATGGCTGAACCGGGAGGGCGCAGGCAGTGGCTCCCTGCAGGCTCTAGCTGCCAAGGAGCTCCATGGAGGTGCCATCCCCATGGATGTGTCACCCACGGGTGTCTGGAGCAGGGTGGCACATGGGCATGGCGCTGGCGGTGCGCGTACTGTAAATAATTTAGGTGCAGCTGGGCTTTATATTAGCATATATATAGAAAAGTGCATATGTGCAGATGAATATAAGTGTATGTATCTCTATATGTGCATTTACACAGGTGGATGTGGCCCAGGGGACACGCGGCATCTGCAGCGGGTGGATGGCAGATGCCCGGAGATGCCCAGGCTGCTTCCGCAGGGAGGGCATTCCCGATGCTTCCCGCTCATCCGGAGGGAGAAGACGGGTGGGAGCCTTGTGGGACAGCGAGGGAGAGCGGGATGGAGGGCGGCTCTGGGTGCCGATGTGAGGGATCACAGGACTCAGATGTCACCAACACCTTTTAATGAACCAAACAGAAACCCAACAGCAGCCCCGGGCCCTTCCAGGGGCTCTGACACGGACACGCGTCCCCCAGGTCCCTCAGCCGGGCAAACGGCGCTCGGCCCGGCGGGACGCGCTTCCCGCTCCCTCCCTTCCCTTGGAGCTGGGCAGGACGTGCCTGGGATTCACCCTCCGGGCTCCGCGCGCCCGGACACCTCGCACGGCCCCGCCGCTTCCTTACAATCTGCAGGAAAAAGCAGGAGAGGCCCCTGAGCTGCCTGCGGACACGGAGCCCGAGCCAGGGAGGGACGCGGGGCAGCCCCGGGGCCACCCCACGGCCACCTACGTCGGCTCCTCCGCAGAGTCCGTATCCACAGAGCTGGAGCGGCGGGAGCATCCCCGTTAGCCCCGCACGGTCCCTGCAGCAGCCTCCTGCCAGCGCCAGGCACCCTCTTCCCGGGGCCGGGCTGCCGTTCCGGCGCGCCGGCTTTGGCTCCGGACAGAAACCATCCGGATCCCGGGAGCCGGGATAACTCACCCATCCCGCGGCGAGTCCTCCGGAGCGCGGCAGCGGCACCACATGCGTTGCCACAGGACCAGGATGGCGGCCCCGAGGAGGACGGGCAGGAAGAGGCAGAAACTTATAAGGAGCCAGTTCCTCAGCACGTCCTTGCTCGGGGCGACCGCTTCATCTAGACAAAGAAGGGACCTCTGTCACCACTCGCCTGTGGCCACCACGGAGCAGCAGAGCCACCCCCCCTCTCTCTATAGACATATTTATGGATCTATATATATGTAATGACAGGAGGCAGCGGGCTGGCAGCAGATTTGCACCCGTGCAGCCCTGCGCTCCACGTACCCGCTCGGAAGAGGCTCTCGCTGCTTCCTCCCATCGTGCTTGCTCTCTCCAGGCAGCTGGGTGGCTTCCAACCAGGGTGACAGTGACACAGGCCTTTGTTATTGCAGACCTGCAGAGGAAAACAGGCAGCGGTCAGCGAGGAGGGCCGCAGGCAGCTCGGGATGTCCTGCAAACACTCCGCACCACAAGGAAAAGCCTTGGGTACACAACATGCCCTAGGATTGTGTGCAGGGACACAGAGACCTCCTGCAAACAGGGCCACCAGCAACCTGGTCCCAGGGCCACTTGCCGTGACAGGAGCGAGAGGAAACACCGAGATGTTGGGTCCGAAGGGACATCTCCGTGCCACAGCCCCAGGCAGGGGTGCCCTCCCTCAAGGGACGTCGCTTTCTGTCCCATCTGTAGCCTTTTGGAGGCACAAAACGGAGCCCACCCACCCTTCTCCCGCAACCAGAGGAGATTTGGGCTGGAGCTGCTTCCAAGGACATCCCTGGTGAAGCCCCTTTGCCCTCCAGACAACGGGAGGGCACGGGTGACCGCCACGGTCCCCCATGAGGAGCGCGGGGCATCGCTACTTACGCCGTGGTTGTGGCACTTGGTCTTTATTTCACACCTGTAGTTGAGGGTGGCGGCAGGGACGCACTTCTGGTTCAGGCAAACCTGCAGGGCAACCGCAGCAGTTCCCCGTGAGCCACAGGGCTTCCAAGAGCCCCCCGAGGCTCCCATGCGGAGCCCGGCTGCCACCAAGGCCACCGTCACACTGGAAACGTGGCCTCGCGTGGCGCCGCCGGGGCTGCGCTCACCATGTGGTCGCCGCAGACGGTGCCGTCGTTCACCAGCATGGGGTCCCTCTCGGCGGGAGGCTTCATGTAGTCGAGCGTCACGCACAGCGCGTTCTGCACCCGCGCGTAAACCACGGCCGCCCTCTCCTTGGTGAAGGGCTTGTGGCTGGGGTATTCGCAGATGAGCTTCCCGCAGCGCAGATCCCTACGGACGCGCCGAGGGGACGTTCCCGAGGCCGCTGGGAAGCGCGGCTCTTCCCACGGGGCATGGGAACGCGGGGCAGGCGGGCTCAGACCTGCTCCTTTGGGACTTACTGCCACGCACAGCTCTGGTAACCGCTCTGATTGGAGCCGCAATGGCCCATCCTGTCCCGTCGGCCGTTAATTTCTTCGTAACAGGCCAGGGGACCATTTCTGGCTCCTGCAAACACGCGCCACGCTCACACTCCAGCCTTCCACGCTTTAGTACACGTGGAGAGCTCCGCGTTCGTCCCCCTGCAACCGTTTGTCCCCGTCACCTTTCCCGAAGACCTTCTGGCACTGCTTGTCAGCCATCTGGCACACTCCGCGGTAGCAGTAGGCGCTGCGGCGGTTGCAGGGGTGCCCGTCCATGACCCAGAAGTTGGGCGTGCACTGCCCGGAGGTGCCGTTGCAATATTCCTTCAGCTCGCACTCGTCCTCCGGGCTGCTCCTGCACAGGGTTCCCCTTCGCAGGAACTGGGGGAAGAGGCAGAGCCGGAGGAGCCGCGCTCGGCGCCCGCCCGCGCTCCGCTCCGCCGGCGCGGCTTACGTGGCATCGCCAGCAGCACGGGCCGGACACGCATTCCACCCCTTTCTTGGCTTTGCATCCCACCGTGCAGCACGGATCGCGCTTGCATTCCTGGGAACAGCGGAGACGGCGCGCGCCCGCGAGGCGCCCGACCTCCGCCGAGCCGCAGTCACAGGTCTCTCCCGGCTCCACCACTTTGTTGCCGCACACGGGAGCCCGATAGGATATGTCCATAGTCGGCCTGTTCCAGAGGCACTGCCCTTCTCCGCTGGCGAGGAAACGCTGCAGGTCTCTCAGGCTGCAGCTGCTGAAGCTTTTGGCGCCAGGCGAGCGTCTGGGAGGCACAGAAAGAACCTGGGGT